GAACGCTAATTTCACAATGCACTAGTCAAAAACACACTACCGCATGCTAGAAAAGTAACAACCAAGACCTGCACTGAGAAAAGAGAGAACTTTAACAGACTGTACATTTCAGGTGAACAAGCCTGCTAGAGTGCCTTGAACTGCAACTGAGGACTGTGCTATGTACATTACCAGCCAGTGTACCAAGGGTAATGGTGATTCTATTAATTTAGTGTTACCAAGCATAATTCTAACTAAATTCATGTTTTCCCCACCTGCGGTTTATGATGTCCTTTATGGACATTTATAAAAATGCATTTTACCACTACCTATTTGTGGTATAAATTAGTTACGAGTGTAATTTTGTTTTGAATGTATGTGCATTAATATTATTTTCTACATCATCTGATACAGTAAAAAAAATCACATTGACCTAGAGCAAAAAGGAAAGCAAGATTTGTTTTCAAAACTGTAATAACTATAAAAGTTGTTTTTCTGAATCTAAAAAAACAAATTTTACAATGAATGAGCTGAATGATCTCTACTGCTGCAGTCATGTTTGCAGTTACAGCACAACAGTCTCATTGCACAATGTCATCATTTAGATCACACTGCTACTGTTTTTAATTAATAATCCTAATACTGGAGTTTCCTGGTGGAGCAACAGTGATTTCATAGCGTGTTGACAGACTGGTGCTTTGCAACATACAGTATCAAATGCCATGTCCACCTAACTATTAACACCTAAATTTGAGTTTCAAAATATAGTAATTACTAGTACACAAACATCTGTAGATGTTCTCTTAAGTTATAGTTCTGGCGAGGTATATGTTATTATAACAAAACAAAAAAAAGTGGAATGTAACAGGATGAAGTAGACAAAATCTGCTCATGCTAGCTTTAATAAACTTTTTTTCTGTATGTTTTCATTTTGCAGTACACATAAGTGACATTAGATCTAACCTTGCGCTAAGCAGAGGTATAAACAAGCCATTATTTTATTGTCATTGTAAATGGTTCTGTAATGCATGAGAGTCTTTATGACTCTTATGATACAGCAAATCTTATTTCAATTTATTATCTATTATTTTTGTATTTCACCAATGTAGCAGTTAACTAATGATTAATCAAATATATTGAAATAAAATTAAATGGGCTATTGATATTTGGGTCATGAAACATAATGGATTTTTTTTCTGGTGAAACTGCAGTAAGTAAATAAGACTGCACTATGACAGTGCTTGCATTATGACATTACTAAGCTTGTTTACTTTCTGTATGGCTATGTAGACTGAAATATGAGGCAGTCCATCTCAAATCTGAGCCATTTTACTTGATGTTTGTCTTCAGAAAAAGTTCACTACACTATGTTACAATCTTCGAATGAAATGCATTTTGTTACACATTTTCAGAAATGTCTACCTTGTACAAACAAACAAATAATAGGCAATATGACATCG